TTACCATTATTTTAAAAAAATTATTCTCATTTGTTATATATGACAACAATGCATTTCAATTCATATTACACATATAGAGCTCAAATTTTCATATCTCTGGTTGTACATAACGTAGAATCCAAGGATTCTCTGTACAGCTTTCCATATTGGTTGCACCAATTTGCAGTCCCCACCAACAGTGTATGAGTGTGCCTTTTTCCCACATCCTCACCAACACTTATTGTAGTTGGTATTCTTGATAGCCGCCATTCTGACTGAAGTGAGGTRAAATTTTAGTGTAGTTTTGATTTGCATTTCTTTAATTATTAGAGATGAGGAACTGAATTTTAAAAATTGTAATCAATTTAAATTTTAAGTAGTCAGATATAGTTACCAAATAGTCCAGTTTTTAAAAAATAGTTCTTACATTTATTGAAAGAGTGATAGTATTTCCCTCAGAATTTTGTATATTTTAAACTGAGAGAAGGGTAATAGAAAGTGATGAAGGTAGTCAGAAGAGAGCYAGGTTTTTCTTGTGGTTCTGCCATCGAAAAGCTTTGTAACTGGGCAGGACATATTATTTCTTTGGTTTCTTTATTTGTAAATAGTAATGTTAAAATAAATGCTTTAAATATYCTAATTGTCAAGAGAATATTTCCAAATTAGTAGTAATACATACACACCCTTCATATAATATTCTTTGAACTAAAGTCTTCTTTAAAAATTATACTGTTATGGACTTTAAAATAATTTAATGTTCTARTCCTAAGTCGCACTGTCTTTGTTCTAGGGATTCACATATAAACAAGCATCAGATTTTGGAATTCATCATGCACAGCTCCCCCTTGGAAGTTTTGTGAAGATGAATAGTCGAAAAGTTTTGGCAGTTAATCATGGTAAGGTATARGGGGTACTAAGAAGATACATCAGCACACATTTTGAAAAAGAGCATAACATTAAGATTTGAACAAATAGAAAATATTAATCCTTGTTGGAGAACAAAACTTATAAAGAGTAACCATTTATGATTTGTTTAACTAATAGAAAAAATTATGMATATTTTAGAAAATTTTGAAAGTGTATCAAAGTATAAGAACAATTAGTTGTAATTTTACAACTTGGTATTAACTTTTTGGTRTGTTTTCTTCCAGTTCTTTGCCTGTGCATTTATAATATTTATTATATAATTGGATTCCTACTGTAGGACAATGTTATTAATCTCTTTTCTTCTTATTTTAGTCAGCTTTTTAGCTGCTGTGACCAAAATACCTGATAAAAACAATCTTARGAGGAAAAGCTTATTTGGGGGAATAAGGAATCGAGCTGGTTTCAGAGGTTATAATCTGTAGACAGCCAGCTCTATTCCTTGGTCAGAGGAAAGGCAGCCATCATGGCAGAAGTGTGTGGCAGAGGAAAGCAACCGGGAACTTTGTACTAGGAAGCAAAGAGAGAAAGAGACCTCTCCTCTCACCTAGGACAAAATATATACCMCAAAGGCATGCCCCAGTGTCCTGCCTCCTCCAGCCATATTCCACTTGCCTACAGTTATCACCCAGTTAATCTCTACCAGGGGATTAATGCACTGGTTAGGTCAGAGCTCTCATAATCCAGTCATTTAACCTCTAAATTTTCTTGCATTTCTCTCACTTGAGCTTTTAGGGGACACACAACATTGAAACCATAATACCCCTCATCTATTTGTGGCTATATAACATTCCAACATTTCAGTGTGTGGTAACTTAACCATTTTCCTATTGTTGAATTATTTTATTTTTCTTTTTTTCTATCGTGAATAACGTTTTTAAAAAATGTTTTCTTCTAATTTGTTATATATGAAAACAGATACATTACAATTCATATTACACATATAGAGCACAATTTTTCATATCTCTGGTTGTATAAAAAATATATTCACAACATTGGTGTCTTCATACATGTACTTAGGGTAATGATGTCCATCTTATTCCACTATCTTTCTTGGACCTAAGTCTTTGCCTAGAGTTTTTATTTTTAAATATTTTTTAGGAACCCTAAATACTTTATCTATATAGCAGGCTTTGGAGGGTTATAGAAATGAAGTTATTGATTCAAGGAATGAACTTCTTCTAACATTTTTGATACATAATAGAAATTACTTTTCCAAAAAGTAATTAAATTAACCCTTCATCTCTGTGTTGAAAAGAGAGTTCTTAGAGACAGTATTGATATTCTTTACTCCTAATAAACAAAACAACAACAAAAAAATCAGGCAAAAAGTTTCTCTCTTTGTAGGAAAGAAGAAATTTAGATGAATGCTAAACATTTGTTTTTAGTTGTRTATTACATAAAGGATAAAGAAACAAAGGGAAAAAAAAGAGTAGGAAGGAAACTAAAATGGTCCTTGGTTATAATTGACAAGGGATATTGCTTAAGCTTTTGTGTGCTTAAGAACCAAATTGAGGAAAAGCTGAAAAGGAAGTAATGGGTTTCAGAACCTTGGAACATATTGCCCCTGATAGCCAAAGGAGAAGGAAGAAATAAGAATAAACTTGTTAATAGGACAAGCTAGCTTTGTTAACACAAAAGGAGTGTGTTTTTAAAGATAGTATTAACATTATGATGAACTTGACCAAGAAATGTGTGGTATTTTCTTTATTGCAGTATTTGAGATTATTCTGGGATACCTGGAAACAAGAAACTGGCAAGAAGCATTTTTCACTATCTTACCCCAAAGGAAAGGAGCTGTTCCYACAGACAAAGCCTGTGAAAGTTCTTCCCAGGACAAGCAGTGTGCCATGGTTGAAGATGGATCGGACAGTGATTCCAGTGAAGAAGAATATAGCAAAAATGAAACAGGGTCACCACATAAAGATGAACAACAGGATAAGGAAAATAGCACTGAATCTACAATGCAATCTGCACCACACTAACATTACCTGTTTTTCTTTTAGTAAGGAAAAATTAGGAGAAAGTGAGGTGCTTCAAAAAATATTCAAATTGGAAAAAAATTTATTTTCTCATTTATTTTGTGAATTTTAAAAACTCTTTAGAGCTAAATGGTGATGAAAAACCCTTTAAACTCTGTAAGAATTTTTGTTTWTGTATAAGACAACTTTGTGTTGCTTCTTAAATTACTTTTTAAGCCTCAAATAAGAGTTTTAGAGAATTTTACTTTATTAGTATACCCTATTTCTCTTTTCTTTGTTGGAATATATTCTTCAGAATGTGCCTTCTGACCTATCAGTTCATATCAGTGACCTTTATGTTTGTTTATATCAGTGTCTTTCTAATCTGTTGTGTATGTATTTTTGGGGCAGATATTCATAAATCCCCTGTAACTCTATTAAAATGTTATATATGAGAGCTTATCTTCCATTTGCAGCTTTTACATCCAATTTATTTAGTTAAAAAATATCAATTTGCTACTTAATAATTCATTTCTTTTGGACTGTGGAGTGCACACCTGTGCTTCCTTTGTGGCCTTTTCATGGTTCTGAAGTAATAACAAAATAGTAGAAAATATCTTTAATTCATTTTCTTAATTCCTATAATGGTAACAAATTATTTCAGTTATAAAATCAAATTTTTGCAGGCAAGATTATTTTATAAGGCTGTTACTTTTGAAGGATCAATTTTGTCTTTACCTGATTTAAAACATAACAGTCCTTATGAGCTATCCTTTCCTTACAAATATTTTTTWWAAAAAATATTTGTTGACTTTTAAGGTGAATATTGTGCATCTGTCTATCATATAATATTCAAACTAACATAAATGTGTGTCTCTGTAAATAACGTGCACGTATAAAAATACGCGTGTAATGGTCTGTCTGTCCGTATCATGTATGGTTCTGTTATTAACTGATGAAAACAGACTGATTTGTATTATTTGTGTGGTTGCGTCGAAAACACTAAGAGCAATTAGAATTTCATTAACACAAAAATCCGTAACCAAACATTCATTTGGAAAAGTTGGCAAGGGAGCATGGAGCAAAAATGATCTGTTTTAGCCTCTAAATGGTGATTGTAGAGAAGTTGTATTTAAAATAAAGTGATTGTTCTCTGTCACAGCTAAAGTTGTCAGGAACCTTCACTGAGCTTTGGCAAAGTAAGTTTTTTTTTTTTTTTTAAATATGTGAATGTTATACTTAACAATTACATAACATGTATAAGTTATATACATATTTAGTAGGAAGTTTATAATGGAATTGATGCTTACTATTTTTGTTGCTTKATTCTTAAAAATCTTTTGTAGTTAAAGTAAAATCTGTAAGCAAGGTATGTCAATAAAGAAAAGCCCTATGCTTGTAAAAGAACAAAGCTTATTTTGTAATGTGTACTTTTCTGAAGTTCAAATTTTTCTGAGTAAATTTGGTTTSCTAGTATGAAATACGCCTTTTACTTAAACTATTCCTTATGGAATATAGCACTATTTAATTATGAAAGGTAAAGAAAAATCATTCAGGTATAACATAGTTTAATTTTCATTAATTGTAAAGACATGCTGTATTTGTTTCCTTGGGGTGCCATAAGAAATCACG